AGAGTGTTTCAACTCGCTGCTCTCCTTGCTGCGAGGCTTACAGGATCTCAGTTCCCGGACCAGGGATTGAACCGGGGCCAAGGCAGTGAAAGCCCAGTATTCTAACCACCTGGCCACCAGGGAACTCCCTCCTTGCCTCCACTTCTCTTCCCCGCTGATCTTGCGGTCACACAGTCCTGGAGTGGCCACCTGCAGATCTGACCAGGTCATCTTCCAGGGCCTGAGCATCACTGTGGCCTGGCCTGGGCCCCAGCGCACCTGCAGCCTTGTCTCGCCCCTCCCCCACAATACAGCCTAGGAGCCCCATGGAGGATTTCCAGAAAGACGCCACATTTCCTCACCTTTGGGCCTTCTGTGTGAATTCCCCCAGCCCCAGGCCCAGCCTCCCTCCTTTAACCCCAAAGGCTGAGCTAATGCTTCCCCAAGGCTCACCTCCAGCATAGCTCTGCCTGCTTCACTGTCTGGTGCCCCTGGGGATGGCCGGTCCCCGCAGGGCAGATACTGTGGCTTGTTCACTGGACAAGGACCCTGTGAATGCTCACTACTTCTCTACTTCCCAAGCCTCACCTTGTCCAGGGCGCTCTTCAGCTCCAGTTCTGGCTCCGATTTCAGCTCCAGCAGCAGGCCAGCCCAGGGCTCTTTCCTGGTTCTGGGCAGGAGCCCCAGGTGCAGACCCTGTTCCCAAGCCAAACTGGTCATCTCTTGGTCTCCTACCTGGATGCCTGAACTCCTATTTTGGCTGCTGTGTGTGGGAACTCAGAGTCCTCTGGTCCCTTCTGGAAGAAGCAGATAAGCTTCCAATAACCACTGCCCTCCACTGGGGCTCCTGAACATGTATATGTGACCTCCATGGAGTTGGCCAGAGAGGGACCACACTCAGGCCTGCAAAGGGAGAGGTTTCCTCATGCCGGGGCAGCCTGCTCATTGGATTCCACCCATTGCTGGAACATTCTTCCACATTCACCTGCTATCTTGGTAGGTGTGTGTGTGTGTGTGTGTGTGTGAGGGCCCATGTGTGTGAGGTATGTAGGCATGTAGCAGGTGGGAGCTGTAGGAGGGCTGTAGGAAGGGACATGTGTACTCCACTGAGGACTGGACAGTCCCCCAAACAAGGCCCCTTCAGAGGAGCGCTAGCTGCTAGTCAGGAGGGGGAAATGCCAGCACCTGCAGGCTCGAGCACCTCACCCCCGCTTGGCCCCTTTTCTCTGTTGATCAGGGGAAGACGAAAGACCTGGATGGACCACGACTTTGCGATGCAGCCTCACGGAGCCCCAGGAGCTGGAACCTCCTTCTCCCGCAGCCACCTACTGGGGCACCCTGCCCGCCCCTCAAAGCTCCCTGGAGGGGTGTCGCCTCTCATCCCTGTTCTCAAGAAGACCATCCATCTGGATGCTTTCCCCCAGAGCCACATCCCACAGGCTTCCGGCCGACCAGGCCTTGGAGCTAGGGTGTGGAGTGTGCCCCCACAGGAGACTGGCAAGAGCCTGGCACCCAGGAAGCTCAGCTCCGTCTCCCTAACAGTCCGCCAGCACAGCCAGGCATGGCGCTTGGGCCCCCTACCTTCTCACTGGGAACAGGTGTCTACCCCAGGCAGGGAGGCTGCCACCCACAGAGGAGGGAGGCTGCTTTCTCCTGACTCACCACCTGTGACCCTAGTGCCAGGGGGCAGGGTCCACTCCGAGGGCCCAGGTCACCCAGGTCTGGCCAAGCCCAGCAGGATGCCTGCGGTGGAGAAGCCCCTGGTGAGCTCATGCCTGACCCTGCCTTTCCAATCCCGGTTAGCTCAGGGTCCACCAGGTCCTGCAGGGCCAGGCTTGGTGGGTCAGAGGTACCCTGTCCCAATGACCGCCCATGTGCCTACCAGAGCTTCTCCAGGAAGAGGCAAGCCCCGGTCCAGGGGTATTCAGAGATCCCGGCTGCATCTCCAAAGGGCCATCGCTGCCACGGGGCCTGCGACGGCCATGGATTTGGCTGCTCTGGATACAACGAGGCCAGGCACATCCAGACATTTATCCACAATGGCCACCAATAGGCCTGGCTTGGCTGTCAACTTGGCTACACCAAACACATCTAGACTGGTCACAAGCACTGAGTTCCCTCATCTGGATAGCAAACTGGGCTCTGCCATGGACTTGGCTAAAGCAGGCACAACCAAGCCACACACGGTCATGGATGTGGTGACCCCAGACCCAGAAAAGTTGGGCAAAGCCATAGCTACAGCAGGCACAGCCAAGCCAGATACAACCACAGACGGTACAGCCAGGGAAGTGGCAGCACCAGATCCAGTCAAGCTGGACACAGCCATGGTGTTGGCCAGGGCGAATATAGCCAAGCTGGACATGACTACGGATTCTCTTGTTTTGGATACAAGCAGGCTGGGCACAGCCACGCATTCAGTTGTGCCAGTCACCCCAGACCCAGTTACTGGTGAGACCACGCTGGACAGTGTCATTAAGCTGACTAGATCAGACACTGTCACCTACCCATCAATGCCAAGCAGAAGCACAGATACAGCCCTGGACCATGCTACAGCAGAGGCTGCCAGAGACTGCGTCACAGAGCTCACCATGCTGGGCCTGGCCAGAGAAACCAAAGGTAAATGCAAAGAGCTGGGCTGGGGATGCGCTGGACTGCTGGGGTGTATGAGCCTGGAGCTGGATTATGCTTGGATAGATCTGGGGGACTTTAAAGTCAGAGTTGAATGAGCTGGGAGAAAAGGGAATGGGATTGAGTGGCAGAACACAGGGGGTGCACCCTGAACTGGGTCCCACCCTGCCAGTCAGAGGTCAGGTTGAGGGAAGCCATCAGAAGGAGGGTTTACAGGGGTAATTTGTGGGAGAGCAATTATGCTGAGTCTGTCCTTTAGCATCTTCCATGATTGTTTCTTTGTTCCCTGAAGAGCTGAAATAATTAGGTGATCTATAGGTGAGTCCAGCTTGAAAAGCAAACCACCTACACGAAAATATAGACCAGCACTTCAGTAAGTGGTGATTTGTCTAACAGTCGACACTGCCAGGCTCCTCTAGATGTGAATAGTGATCTCACCCAAGACCTTCTAAATCATCCCCAGTCGGCCTTTCAGGAAGATGGCTGTTGCTTAAAAGGTGCCTCACCTGGAACTTTTTCTCGGTCCCCTACCCCCAGCCTTTTAGTCCTGAAAGGTGAGTTGGGGACTTGTAGGTTGGAAGTCCTACATAGAAGTAAAAACAGGTCAACACAAGGACTAGAAGTTCATTTGGTCTTAGAGAGGCTGTGACACGCCTAAAGTCACACAGCTGGTTGATGGCAGTAAGCTAATGGGAACCCAGATCTTGGAATTCTACTTTGGGCAGTCTCATTCCCAACATTTCAAAGGCTCAGAGATTCTGGGTCTGGCAGATGCTTGGAAAGCATCCAGTCCAGTGGCTTAATTGGCGTTGGGGGTTGTCAGTCCCCTTCTCATTGCCCTCTGCACACTCGGCCTGGGGGAGCCCACCCAGGCTCTGGTCTTCCCTCCTCCCTATGGGACCTCAGCTCTCCCTCCATCTTCAGCCCAGCCCTCTCTCTCAAAATGCAGGTGTAGACACCCAGTGGCCTGCCGGACCCCTCTACCCAGACAATTCCCGGGCATGTCTAGAGGCAGCCCCTTTCTTCCTGAGTTCTGCCCTCCCTGATCTCACTCCCTCAGCTGCAGGCACCATACCAGAAACCTGGGTATCCTCGTCTTCCTCATCTTTCTCTCTCCTTCATCCCATCCAGTCTAATTCCAACTCTGTTGATCAACCTCCTCAGTCCCTGGCTGTCTGTCCCCTCCTCTCCATCCCTCTGTCCCTGTGAGGCCACCCCCTGCCCCTCCACACAGCTGCCACAGGGACTCATATATTTCATGGCAGCACTTTCTGCTTAACAGCTGTTGGTGACCCGCTGTTACCTTCTTTGATAAGTCCAGCTCCTTAGCCTGGCTTCCAAGGCTTTGGACTTCTCCAGCCTCTTAACTCTATATCCCTGTCTGGACTTTTCCCTGCTTTGGTGCACCCGGGAGCTCTGTTGTCCCCAGCACCATGCAGCTCTCACCTCTGGGTCTTTCCATAGACTGCTTTCCCTTCTTCCCTTGCACCTATATTTGCCTTTCCATCTTGGCCCTCATCAAGGGCCCTCACCCCTGCACCCAGAGTACCCGGTGGGTGCCCACCCCCCTGCACCCACAGAACCCTGTGCATACCCCACCCCCTCCGTTAGGATAGGCCAGCTTTCTGTCTTGACCCACCAGACCCAGAGCTCTTTGAGGACAGAAATGACGGTCCTCATTCCTGTCCTCTCAAGGCCTGGCAATATGCTGTCCATTCAAGTTGACTGAATACAAGGATGATTTTTCTGACGGGTAAATTGAGGCTCAGGAAAGTTCCTGACTAGCTCAAGGTCACAGGGCTCATCATCCCAGAGCCAGGCCTGGAACCCGGGTTCCTGAATCAGTCAGGGTTCTATAGGCACCCGCGTCTGGGCAGAACCGCGTTGAACCAGCCCAGCATCCCAGCCACCGCGTGACTCTCGCGCGCGCACCGCCTCCCGCAGCTCCCACAGGTCCCCTGCGCTCCCCGCCCCGCCCCGGCCTAGAGGGTAACAGGCCGGGAGCAGGATCGAGGGGGAGGGACCAGGACTGGGATGCGGGAACCATGCCCCACCCGGAACCTCGAGCCTGCAGGCACAGCGCCCCCGCACGCCTCCCCGGCGGCCCGCAACCGGCCCTGGGTGCCGGCTCCCCGCAACCGGCCCTGGGTGCCGGCTCCCGTGTGCGGGCGGGAGGGGAGCCGGTGCGGGCGAGGACGCCGAGGGAGGGGGAGGGGCCCTCGGCGGGGCGGGCGGGTCACGTGGTGCGGTGGCGGCGGCGGCGGCGGCGGTGGCGGCGGCGGCGGCATCGGTGCAAGCGGGCAGGGGCAGCGCTGCGCCGAGCCAGCCGAGTCGAAGTCCCGGGCTGGCGCGGCAGCGCGGGGCGCGGGGACTGCGCTGCCGGGCCGCGGGCCGGGCGGGTGGGCGGAGAACGCAGAGGGGCGAGGCCCGGCTGCAGGGTCTGCTCGACCCAGGAGGAGCCCGCGTCCAGCTCAGCCTTGCAGCCCCGCGCCCTGAGCATCGTCCCGGAGGAACGGAGACAAAGGAGGATTCATGTCCAAAGGTAGGAAGGCCGGCGGGGCCACCGGCGCGCGCCGGGAGGAGGCTGCGGCCCCCAAAGCCCGGCTGGAGATGCTGCCCGGGGAGGGTTGATGCGCTGAGGAACCCATGCGCGGTGACATACGCACGGGCACACGCACACACGGTGGCACACATCCCAAGGTGTACAAGCCCGGAGAAATGCACATATGGAACCGCGGAGAGATACAGAGAGCCCCGAAGAAGCGAGGAGGCACCCAGATGCGCACAGAAAGCTCCACACTGGAGGACACCAAGAAGTGCACACACATGCACACCACACACAGGTATCAGGACCACCTACAGCCAGACAAGAGACCTGTGCGCTGACACGTAGACCCCTTCCCCCACACATAGGCGCACACTGAGACGGGCACCAGCTGGTGGTCTCCAAGGGAACTCCTTGGCCTCCAGAGGACTGGGATGGAGGCAGGGGTATCCCAGGGCCCTTTGCTTCTGTGAATGGGAAAGTACTAAGATATCTTTTGTGATTCCTTTTCTGAGAGCCGGGGGCTGGAGCTGGGGTGGACTGGAATTGCCTCTGCGGGTGGGGGCGCTGTTTTGAAGGCGGCTGGGGGCTGAGGAAGACCTGCAGCTCCCCATGGAAGAGCCTCCCCACCCCCTGGATCCCCACTAAGCCAGGGAGGAAGGTGCTATTCTGGAAAGGTTCCCTCCCCCTGCTGCCACCTTCCCAGCAGAGGGGTGGGGTCCCTGGGCCAGACAAAGACAAAGCCATTCATTTGCCTGTAAAAGAAAGCACCAGGGTCCTTGCTTGGCACGGTGATGGGGGGAGGTGCTGTTTCTGTGGGGACTAAGCTAGAGCTGAGTGGGGTGGACAGTGTCTCTTCCTGGAGCACTGATGGGCAGGTGGCTCCTGGCAGGGGGTGCTGCAGACAGATCCCCTCCTCTCCAGGGGCCCTGAGAGAGCTGGGAGCTTAGGAGGAGCCCCAAGAACCACTTAGGCAGGATGGCATATTTGAGCTACATCCTGCCGTGACCCCATCCTGAGCTCTTGCCCACCCTTGGGGAGTCCCCCCTCCAATCCCTGTTGCAGGGGAAGGAGAAAGTCTCATAACAGAGTCTACCTCCTTGACTGTGGCCCACACAAGAGCCATTTGCTGGGTGGAGGTCAGCTGCTCTGCCAAGGGAGCAGCATCTGAGGGAGGAGAAAAGTGATGGCTCTGAAGTAGCATCTGCCTTGTGGTGAGGATTGCATTCATTCATTCATTCATTCATTCATTCATTGCTGAGTGTCTTGTTATACTAGGTTCATTGGGGCACAGAAATCAATAAGACGTGGCTCCTGCCCTGAAGAAGGGTGGGAACTGGCATATGTTCAGTGCCAGGTAATTTATGTCCATGTTTTTGTATAAGCTTCATAGCAACCCAGCAAGGTAGGTACTGTACCTATTTTCCTGAGAAGAACACTGAGGCTCACAGGGGTCATCCAGCTGGGAGTCAAGTATGGGCCATCTGGAGTAGGCATGGCGGGACCAGGGGAGCTGTAAGGGCAGAGGATGGAGCTACAGAATTCAGCTCCAGAGCTGCATTTGTCCTGTGCCCTGGAGGGCTTTATGTACTTGTCAGGCGCCCTCACCAAACAGTGGGCCCTTGGGGGCAAGGACCTTGTCTGGACACCAAAAGTGTCCTTGGCATTTAGTCTAAAGTTTGGCTAGAGTAGGTTCCCATTTGACAGCATGTGGAAAGGCCTGGTTGGGATGGATGGGATGGAGTGAGTGAATGAATGAATGTGATGACTAGAAAGTTAGTCAGGGGGCTGAGGCAGCACAGAAGAGAGGCATCCACATGAGATGAGAAAGCAGAAGGTTTCCTGAGGGGTAGCCCTTGGGCTGAATGGTGAAAAAAGAGTACGAGTTAGCCAGGGGCTGGAGTGGGCAAAGGGTCTTCCAGCAAAGGCTGTGACACAGTGACCCACCACAGGTTTGCAGTAACTGTGGCTGATGGGTGGTCGTAATTGCCATGTGGTTGGGAGGGGCAGCTTGCCAGCAGGAGCTCTATGGGTGCTCATAGGTGCTTGATAGAAGAATGAAGGTGAGATCTGCTCCCGTTCTGGACCTGCAGCAGGCCTGCTGTAGCCCCTAGAAGTTGCCTGGGAATCTGGTAGGCCGCCCCCTTCTTGCAACCAGGGTCTGTCTTTTGGGGAATGATCTTTGAAGATGCTGCAGTTGACAGACCAGGGCTGAGCAGGCCATGGTGAGGACACACACTTTATAAAAATACTTACGGGGCTTCCCTGGTGGCGCAGTGGTTGGGAGTCCGCCTGCCGATGCAGGGGACACGGGTTCGTGCCCCGGTCTGGGAGGATCCCACGTGCCGCGGAGTGGCTGAGCCCGTGAGCCACGGCTGCTGAGCCTGCGCGTCTGGAGCCTGTGCTCCGCAAGGGGAGAGGCCACAGCAGTGAGAGGCCCGCGTACAGCAAAAAAAAAAAAAAAAAAAAAAAAAAAATACTTACAAAAACTCCCATAAATAAATACTAGACTCACTTTCCAGGTCTGTAAAATGAGGTAAGACCCTGCCTGTCCGACACACACATACACACCGATGGATCTATCTCACAACACAGGTTGTGGAGACCAAATGGGCTGGCTCTAGAGGCATGAGGGAGATGAATGGGGCCAGCCGTGTGAGCAGCTGGGCAGGGAAAATGGGGCATTGGTCCCCAGTGCAGGTGTGCTGAGTTGGGTCCAGGAGCCACGTGCAGGGTGGATGTGGAGGCCAGGCTGCTGAGAGTCAGCTGCTGCAGGGCTGAGCCAATCGTGCTGCCTTCTGGGGCCGCCTGGCTGGCAACAGCTTCCTGGGAAGCAGGAGGGAGCCACGCCAGGCCCTGGGGAGGTCCTGAGACTTTGTCAGATTTGGCTGTGCCTGGAAGTGACAAGGAAAGAATGGTTTCCAATTGAGAGAGAGAGAGAGAGAGAGAGAGAGAGAGAGAGAGAGTCTTGCCAGGACCAGTGGAAGGACCAGGTGGTAGGGGTACAAGAACAGACTCCTGGCTGGGTTTGGGGGTGGGGGAGGGAGGTACTCCTGTCCCCTCACCCTCTTTCCCATCTGCTGCTCCATCAGTTCTCTCTGTGAGCCTGAGACTCTGCAGGGTGGTTACCATGAACCATAGGATTCTAGAATGGCAGAGCTGGAAGAGGGCCTTTGGAGAGCGTGGAGTCCAGTAACTGTACTGTGTAATTAGTATCTGGGGCACCTCCCTCTAACAAGTGCTTTCACAGGCACCACTTCATTACCCCTCCTGACAGGCTGTGAACTTGAAAGGGACAGGAGCAACAGGGTCTGAACAGTGAGGCACTGTGCAGGCGCTTCTAGGCATGTACCTCGTGTGCAGTGCTCACTAGAGCCTTAATCACGATCCTAACCAGTTTATGGAGTACAGAGGAGGAAGCAGGCACATGGGAAGGGGGGGTGGTTTGCCCAAGTCCACAAAACTGGCAAGCAGCAGAGCCAGGCTCTTTCCACATCACCACACACCCCGTTTTACGAGGAGGGAAATGGAGTTGCTGTATCCTGAAACCCACCCTGGTGGACAGTGGCCTGATGAGGAAACACACAGATTTCTCTTGTATGTGAATATACCCATGATCTGCCAGACCCAGAGGGATGTTTGCCTTTCTCCACTGGAGAAGGGCTGTGATTTCAGCCTCCCCTTTCTTTTGCTACCCACCATCCCAAGAACACGTTGTGTCATGTCATCTTAGGTCAGTGATGGCCCCTACTTGGGTCTCATCCTCTCCCCAACAGTCAAAAGGGGAGACTTATTCCCCCTCAGACTCAAAACTAAGGCTCGGAGGGTGTCTGGGGCACCTCAGGGCACAGACCTCCTTACTTTGCAGCAGTGCTTGTGGAACAGAGGGGACACGGAGGCTGGGAGACAGGAGTGATGCTCACTCTGCAGAGATGAGGTAGCCCTATGTGCTTCCTCTTTTTTTTTTTTAATATTTATTTATTTACTTGGTTGTAAATAAATATTCTTATTTGCAGTGTGTGGGATCTTTAGTTGCGGCATGTGAACACTTAGTTGTGGAGTGTGGGATCTAGTTTCCTGACCAGGGATAGAACCTGGGCCCCCTGCAACGGGAGCACAGAGTCTTAGCCACTGGACCACCAGGGAAGTCTCCCCATGTGCTTCTAAAAGACAAGCAACTGGATCAGTGACAGGCAGTCAACAGATGTTAGGTCCAGTATCCTAAAAGGTCTTTACCCTTTCTCTGGGGGAGGCAGGAACTCGGGTCGGAATAACCCCAGACATCTCTTAGATCAGTGGTTCTCAGCTGGGGCACTGTTGTCCCCAGGAGACATTTGTCACTGTCTGGAAATATTTTTGGTCATTAAACTGGGGGGGCTACTCCCTGCATCTAGTAGAGGCCAGGGATGTCACTAAACATCGTACAATGCACAGGACAGCTCCCTGCAATAATTATCTGGCCTAAAATGTCAATAGTGCCAAGGTGGAGAAACCCCTGGGTTAGAGACACAGATGTGGTTCTTTGGAGCAGCGAAGTGCATATGAAAGTGCCCCAGCAACTGCAGGGTCTGGGTACTGGTCTAGATTTTGCATCTGACTGCTGTGTTCTTAGCAAGCCCCTCCCCCCCAGGCGTCAGTCTCCTCATCTGTGAGATGAGAGACCTGTACTGGATGACATGGAAGGTCCCTTCCAGGCCCAACTCTGTAAGATTCTGTATCCAGAGAATAATACTGTGCCTTCCACGTGACCTCTGCTTTCCTCTAGCCCACCCCTCCCACTTTGGCTTTTCAGGGCTCCCGGAGACCAGGACGGACGCAGCCATGTCAGAGCTGGTGCCTGAGCCCAGGCCTAAGCCGGCAGTGCCCATGAAGCCCATCAGCATCAACCCCAACCTGCTGGGCTACATTGGCATCGACACCATCATCGAGCAGATGCGCAAGAAGACCATGAAGACTGGTTTCGACTTCAACATCATGGTCGTTGGTATGGAGGCCGTGGGTTCCCTGGAGGCCCTGGTGGCGGGCAGCACCCAGGATCCCGATTCTTTCTTGAGGACGGCCTCAGCCCTGGCTTCTCTCGAATGAGCTCTTTCTCGGAGGAAAGATCTCGCTGTGCTGATCACAAAGGCCTGACCCCTTTCTCCCCACAGGCTGGCTGATCCAAGGGTGGGAGCTGTGGGTGGGTGGTCATTGTGGCCCCATCAACACCTGGCTGTACACAGGCAGCCTTGCAGCTGTGCTCAAGTTGCCTTCGTGTGTGTGGCACACGGGGGGCATCACCAGTGTCCTCCCCTAACTTCAGGAGCTGGGGGAGGATCGGATGAAAGGTGGTCTTCTTTCTGATCTTTTGTGTGCTTTCAAGCTTAGAGAGAATTTCCAGGACACTGGTGACTAAGTAGGGTCACTGGGTCACAGAATGTAAGAGCAGAGGGGGGCCTTTGCCTGACCTCAGTGAGATATTCTCTCTGTTGCTGAAACTGGGATCTGGGCATCATCCTTCTTTCCTCCTCCTTTATCCCCCAATCCAGTCACTCATCAAATACGGTCAATTTTACCTGGTAAATATCTCTCAAGTCTGTCCACTTCTCTCCATCTCCACTGCTACCACCCTAGGCCGAGTGGATCTCTCCCCTGGATTACCAGGGCCACCTGACTCAGTGCTGCTTAAACATAAGGAGCTAGGCCAGAGTGTAAATCATCTGGGAAGTCTTGCTGTAAAAAACATCGGCTAAACTAAACATTGTGCTTGGTGACATAAGTTGATTTACTTTCTGGTGCGAACTTCTTTTTCTCCTGGTTCTCTGTCTCCTGTCTCCTTCGATCCATTGTCCACCAGTGACTGAATAATTTTTCCAACCTGCAAAACTCAAGTCACACATCCTACTTAAAAGCTTTCATAAGTTTAAGGGTTGAAATTCCTAGCCTGGCCTGGTACTGCCTCTCACTGATCTCTTGCCACTTCCCGTGTAGCATTCGGCTCCTCACTTACAAGGTACAGTTCTCCTGGACTTAGCATTCGGCTCCTCACTTACAAGGAACAGTTCTCCTGGACTTAACATGCCCTTTCCTACCTCTTAGCCTTTGTGTATGCTGTTCGCTCTCTCTAGAACCCGCCCTCCCAGCTTCTCATGGGTCATTTGAAGTCATTCTTAGGTTTTAGCTTAGTTATTGCGTCTTCGTAGAAGTCCTCCTTGATCCCAGAGAGACTGAATTAGATTCCCTTTGGCATTGTCCGCTTATGTTTTGTCTCCCTCACACCAAATGGCTCCTTGAGGGTGAGGGTGATGTCTTGTTCACCACTCTACTGCCAGTTGATCAGTTGGATTGAGAAATGTACCTTATTTGCCATCCCTGGTCTCATCCAGTTCCCTCCCTCCCCACCGTCCTATCAGTAAAGAGAAACTAAGGCCCAGAGGAGCAAACATGGCTCGTCCAAGGCTTCAGGCAAGAAGCACAGTTGAGTCTAGAACCTTAGGCTCCAGCCCCCTGCCGGGCCCATTTCCCAATATACGACAGGAATGCTCTAGACCAGCACACCTCAGACTTTATTGCCCATTTGATTCATCTGAAGTCCTGTTAAAATGCAGATTCTGATTCATAGGGCTGGGGTGGGGCCTGGGGTACCTCATTTCCTACAAGCATCCAGGTGATGCCAAGTGCCACTCATTAGTTGCCAGGCTTGCCCGTGTGATTCTTGTGCATGTTTGAGAAACACTGCTCAGACCAGTGGTTTTCAAATATTTGTTAGTGTGGAGCTCTCCCTTGGAATGAAATCTGCAGAACTGCAGTGTCAGTATGCAAAGTAATTCTTTCTTTACTTTTAGTATGATTAAATATTAAAAACTTAGGTCAAGCAAAAACAAAACAAAACCGAAAACCACTGCATGAGGCAAATGCAGAGGTTGTTCCTTTCCCAGTGGTCCTGGGGCTCCAGGAGGAGAGAATGTGGAATCCAACTAACATTCCCCCAGGTCCTTCACCAGTAAGTAGGAAACCGTTCCCACCCACCTGCTCTCCCTACTCAGCCCCTTGCCTCCCCAGTGAGCTGTCAGTCAAGGGCCTGGATCACAGCTCTAGAATTCTGTAAGCTCAGGGGAGAGATACTGGGCTCGGCAGGTGGGCATGGGGTCTCCCTGCCTTCTCATCCTCCTCCTGTCTTGCTGCAGGTCAGAGTGGACTGGGCAAGTCAACACTAGTCAACACCCTCTTCAAATCCCAAGTGAGCCGCAAGGCCTCCAGCTGGAACCGGGAAGAGAAGATTCCCAAGACAGTGGAGATCAAAGCTATCGGGCACGGTGAGGATCAGGCAGGGACCCCAATGGGCATTGTTCAGAGGAGCCTCTGAAAAGGGAAAGAATGGGGCTTCTTGGGGAATGAGACAGATGAAAGGCAACCTCAAGACAGAATAGAATTAAGCCCTAAACACGAGGGACGGGCTTCCCTGGTGGCGCAGTGGTTGAGAGTCTGCCTGCCGATGCAGGGGACACGGGTTCGTGCCC